GCCTATCACTGCCAACTGGGAGCATGCAATTAAATGAGAAATAGTCTCAGTGCTATGGGAGAAAACCAGCTTGCTGGCTGCAGGAAAGAGTTTGCAATTCAGTTTTAATTGTTCATTTTCCTTTTGGAGCTTGAAGAGCTACAGTGGTTAAAGGAATAAAATATGAACCATATGAACTGAGAATTGATTGCTACTCAGTAAGGAAGACTCTACCTTTTCCTTTTGAATATCTGAGTTATTCCAGAAGATATTGGCAATGGATGACTTGTGATTTACCACATGGTATTCTATGGACACTGTGTGAGGAGTAATAAGTAAATATCAAATTACACACCTTGGGTTCTACTTAAGGAAATGTCTCCTCACAAAGGCAGTAATGTGTTTAAAGTGAGAAATTTCATATTACTTGTTCCTATTCTTAATGGTTGTTTTGACAGATCTTTACAGAAAATATTTTTTTCTATTTAACAGATTCCATAACTGCCCTTAGATGCCTTATCTTGTCATATATTCTGTGGAAACAGCATTGTGATTCACTCCCATAGGAATCTACCAAGCAGTGATGACTATACCTAATGACAATGGACTGCCAATTTTGCATGCCAGGCAGTAATTAATTATTTGCTACCATCTCCCAGTGAGGAACTCACTGTATGAATATCACTTGATATATCTCTTGCATTTTATACTTGCAAAATGCATAAAACTCCATCTGTGACCATTTTTGTACTGTTTGTAGCAGAAAGCTAGCCCAAAGAGCACCCATGTGTGCTTGGCGGCCGTTGTGGTCCCCAAGCCCCCAGTGCTACAGCAGCCTCACAAGCCAAGATGAGAGCATAATTCTGTGAAAGGCATCTTAATAATGCAATGTTCTCCTATCCAGAAATGGAAATTAATAAGCAACAAATTAATTCAATTATTAAACTGCCCCTTCAAAAGAAAAAAAAATTAATTTAGTCATTTACATTTAGAAACATTTAGAAGCATGCTGATGGGAAAATTTAAAATGTGTTTTGAAATTGTAGGAAAAAATTCATCCAGTACAAATTAGTCCCTATGTTTGTAGTTAGATATTGTAAACGTTTTTTAACCAAAGTATTCCTTCAACAAGGCAGCGCCTGTGTACAGGATGGCTCCACAGGGAAAAATTTAGTAGCCCTCTATTATATTTATGCATTGTCATTGTTTTAGCCTGAGCTTGTAATCAGAATGTAATATTTGTATTATTATAGAATTATAGACAGATTGTGGATATCTTCTGTGTTTCTTTCCTTTTGGGGAACCTTGGAAAGGGACCAAGTGCTTTATAAAATTACAATTTTCTACAAATAACATTCACCTTAAAGCTAAATATATAAAGAGACAATTTTAGTAAGGATCTAATGAATGATGACATGATTTTGGTTTTTTTGTGTGTTATTTCATTCAATCCTTTCAACAGCTCTGTAGTTTCTGTGTATGTGGAGAAATTTCGAAGGATATAAGCTGAGTTTTTATTGAAGCTTGCATAGCTAGTAGGTGTTATTGCTGAGGTTAGAAAAAACACAAGGCGAGTATTACTTGTAAACATCTTGTACCTCAGCATACCCAGTGAGTTAGTCCCCCATCCAGCCTGGGCAGGCTGTCTATCCCAATTTCCTACCAGTGTCACACATTCTGCCTGTGCTCATATTTGTCCATGGTGTTTCTCTGCAGGAGACAGTGGATAGAATGAATTTTTTTGAATGTGTCTTTTTTTGTCTCATTCTCTACCTGCTATTTTTCAGCTTTTCTTTTTCATTCAACTGTAACATGGCCTCTTTTGTGTTTAAAATGATTTCAAATTACTGTGTGATTTGTTGGAAGTAGTTATGAACATTCTTCATTCATAATATAGCCATTGAGGTGATATTCCAATGAATTCTTCTATATGGCTACAAACACATAATACTGATGAAATCAAACTTCTCTCATGACCCTTTGCTCCTCCAATAACACCTACTGCACTTCCTCTTCTGAGGACCAGTGGACCAGATCATTGGCTCACAACCTTGTTTGATTTATACTAATACTGATTGAAAAGGCCCTAACCATACTACCAAGCTGTGTGCATTTATTGGTATATAGATGATATAGTTATAATAACTTGACTATTTGTCATATGAATTCTCAAGAGCTGCAAATATTGACCAAATTTCTACTTTGTAGCAGCTTTCATGTATATGTTGCTGTTATTACCATTTATAGATAAGGAAACTGAGTTATGCTTTTGAGTAGTTTATGCCATGGTCAATTCTCTGGCAAGTGTTAGCCCTGAGTTTCAACAAATTGTCTCACAGTGGAGTCTGTGTTCTGATTTGCCATGGCATAGATGTTTCTATATGTGCTATGCTACTAAGATATGGCTTGTAGGATGTGAAAAATAGAAATTTTAAATGGATCAGATACATACTAATATAAAATTGAAATTTTAATACTTCAGTCCTCTGCCTCCAGTGGGTCATCTAGAATCACCTACAGCCACAGCTGGGGCGATGCAGCGCCCTTTGTCTATCACACAGGGAGTCTTAGGGGGGAATTAAATTGCCACACTCAGTGACATTTCTAGCTTTGATGTCTGTGAAGACACTGGGGTTCCTAATGCTGGAGTGTCTCCTCCTCTTTGCTCATCCATTAGTTCAGGCCATTTCCATTGCTGCCATCCTGGAGACAAAGCCAAGATAAACAAAGATTTCCCAGCATTCTTTCATGTCTCTTTGTATTTCAACTTGGGTTTGTCTGTCTCGTTATATCAGAAAATACACTGACTCAATGAGAAAACAAGCTTCAACATCCATGGGATTCTCTTGTTTTCCAACTACAGCGTTTGATCAAGCATCACTTTTTTGTGAGCACTATTCTAATGGTTTTTAAGATACACACACACACACACACTCACGCACTGCTTCTTCCCTGCTTCACTTTTGTCACTGCGTTTTGACCAACTGCTCTTCTTGTTTTTCCTTTCCCCCTTCTCTAACTCAAAAATAAGCCTCCTAAAGATAGAAATGTCTTTGTGATTTATCCATGTCTGTCTTCCCAGTTCCTATAGCAATGACTGGGTCACAGTAAACACTAAAACATATTGATTGAATAAATGGATTCACTGCTTTTCTAGGATTAGCCACGTAGGATTTTTAAGCCAATATAAGATGCAAAAAATACAAGGAAACCTTAAAAAAAAAAAACCTAAAATTTACTGAACATGTCCCATATACTATGTAGAAGAAAATTGAGGGCATGTTGAAGTTATCTATACATTTGGCAATAAAAATATGCAGATTCAGAATAAATATTTCCTTTTGCTTAGGAAGCCATTTGTTTTCCTGCTTCTACGCTGTCATTAGTTACATCAGGCCACAAAGCAGCACAATTAATACATTACTTTACAATCATTCAGATGACTGAAATAATAAGGGTTGCTGCCTTTCCCGGTGTAGATTCTGCTGGTCTCTACTTGGTCAAAATTCCAGGTACTGAACATTTTCTGGACTGCACATGTTTGAAAAAAAAAAAAAAACATGACCAAGGAGATTCTTACCTATGTACTTTGGCCCTTTTCATAAAACTGAGGAAGAAGTTCTCTGCTTCAAGATACAGAGTTGAGTAGGTGTTGTGGCACTATGGATTAAACTACTGTTTGGGACACCTGATTCCTGTGTTGATATGCCTCGTATGGAGTCCTACATCTGCTTCAAACACAGCGTGCCTGCTAGAGTTCCTCCTGGGAAGCAGCTATGGACTGTTCAAATACTTGAGTCCCTGCTGTCTACATGGGAGACAAAGATGGAGTTCCTGGCTCCTGGCTTTGGCCTGGGCAGGTATACACAGCTGTTGCAGCATTTGTGGGGTAAACTAGCAGACAGATGGAAGGTGTTTCTCTCTATTGTGACTCAGCTTTTCAAATAAAAATAGGTAAATTATATAAATTAAATCTAACAATGGCTGAGCAGATTATATATAATTTATTACATATGACATATATTTAGTGTATTCATTCATTCTAATTTGAAGGGCAGGATGATAGAAGGAGAGAAAGAGAGGAACTAAAGAGCTTAAACCGTCTGTTGACCAATGAACGTGACAGAAATTTTCAATACAAATGAAATAGCCATAGAAAATAATTGTGTTTTTGATTAAAATCAGTATGGTATATTTCAGGTATGCCCAACTCAAAACTGGTTCTAGGCAGAATGACATGCAAAAACTATTTTTATTTGTTTGCTCTTTTCTTCTGCTTCTGAAAATGCACATATACAACACGGAAATTTAACTTGCAAACTTTCTGAAACATCACTTGAATCCGTTCAGATTGAGAGTCCAATTTGAAGAGACAGATTTGTCCTTATCTATCTCAGTAAGATTAGCAGGAGACAAGCTAATTTATGATCTGAACTAACAGAAGGGTGCTGAGTCGGATTTTGTTAAAGTAATATTATGGCTGGCAAGGATGACATGTCAGATGTTTCATTCATTTTAAAGACCAAACCATTTCCATAAATCATTTTTATAACCTTAAATATATTATATAGGTACAGTACCAGTAGAGTGTGTATAAATGTGCCAGTCACAGCCATTTGCTCAAACTACATCCTGTGTTTCTCATTTCCTTTCTTAAAGATGTATCTATAATATTTTTATGAGCTGATTCATTTCTCAGTGTTATTCATGTGGTCTTGTGTATCGCTGTTATTATGCTCGTTTGGATTTTCCTTACACCTACAGATTCAGTCTATGCAAATATCTCCCTGGGTTTCTCTCCTAGTCTTGTACAAAATGACCGTCTTGTTTTAAATACCTTTTCCTATGCTGTGAGTGAAGAATGCATGCTGGGGAACTACTTTATTAGCATAAAATCTTCATCTGTAACATCTGTATTGTCTAAGATAAAGTGCTGTCTTTCAGAATATTTCTCCTTGAATTTCTTTACTGTTTGAAAACTCTACTGTTTTCTTTTCTCCCCTAACTCCCCCATCTAACAGCAGACAAACCCAGGGAGCACTGAGTGAATCCGATGATCCTGAGACAGGCTGTCTAACTGACAACAAGCCAACTTCTCGACACTTCTACCCTGTCGCCTTGCTGCTTGTCAGCTCGCACCTGCTAGTTGTGTGGCTCATTTTAAGTCTTGCGTTACTATTAGCCAAATACCAATAAGTTTTACATTGTACTCCTTTCTTTTCTACAAATGGCATTGGGCTTTGAATTATGGGGACAATGCTGTAATATTTCTACATTTTCAGATCCAAAAAATTTAAAGCAATGTTTGAATTAAAAGTGTTTTTGTTTTTCCTAAAATTTAAGAAACATAAAGTACTATGCATTAAGTGGATTATTTTGCTCTTTTGTTCATGGACAAGTGTTTCACTGTTCACTGGCTCATGTATTTCAAAATTATTGTCTTTGGAAAAAGACAACAGAATCCTGAAAGCTTGACGTTCTGAACCTCCTCTTCCTCTTCCCACGGAATTAAGAAAATTAAGACTGGATTTGCATAGCACGTTGAATTCCTGAGAAAGTCCTAGAGACCTGGGAGGTTACAGACTTTCTTTCCACTGTGCAAACATTGTAGTTGTGATCAGCTAATAGAAACTTCTGTTTGGGTGTCTAACCTGTTTTATTTCTTTGCTGCAATTAACTTTTCATGTCAAGTAACTTTATGACAATAATGGCTATTTATGTTTTGTAATTAAATTAACCTGTTTATAACTATTGTTTGGGTTGATTTGGCTTTCAGAGTACTTTTCTATTCTTTTTAACAAAGTCTTGTTTGTGTGTTGATGTACCATTTTTAGCACCTGTGAGTTTTGTATTGTCTGTGGAGAAGTACTCTTCCCTTGCAAAACTGAGACTTGGAACAGGCTGTTCGGAAAGCCATTTTCTCTCTTCATTGCACAGCTAAAATAATGAAGTAAAGTAGAGATCAAACTTTTCTTTAAAAAAATCTATAGGGCCAGACTTAATCAAGTAAATGCCTTATTCCTAGAACCTGCATCCTTAGGGCTAACATATAGATTTTAATGTGTTTTAAAGAAAGTGAGAAATTAATTTATGAAAAAGTTATAAAAAAAGGCAGATATATTTATGAAACTTAAGTGAAGCTGTATTGTGGATCAAATTATATTTAAAGAGTTTATTAAACTTTAAATATATGTTAAGAGCAAAGAGACTTTAATCATCTCTTTCCGAAGGCAATAATGGTATTGGGCCTGGCCTATGATTTAATTTTGTAAGATGTATCATCACTTGTGAAAAAAAAAATAATGTAGAGTTGACTCTTTGTTATTTTTACCTGGACTGTTGACACAACTCTGCATTGAACAAATAAAGCATATTTATTTATTCTGTGTTTCATGAAGTTGTGCTTTTTTCCCTTTCACCAGAGAAGGATGCCGCCTAGAGAATGTGCTGAAGAATATCAAATGCAGAAAGTATGCTTTCAACATGCTACAGCTGATGGCTTTCCCCAAGTATTACAGACCTCCAGAGGGGACTTACGGAAAAGCTGACACCTAAGTTTATCAACATGTAAATAAACAAGAACACAAACATATGTCCATTGGATGATCTTACCTTAGTCTTTTCAGTTCTTTCATTGTTACGAAATTGGGCAACAAGGTGACCATAGATGTTTGCCAAAGTCTAGGAATTACTTGAACACTTGGCTGTGTTTAAGTCTGAAAGAAATCCATTTAAAAAATGTCTCCTAGGTTCTAGTCTAAGCTTTTCTGCGTTGACCCTCACTAGCTGGGAGCAATGCAGAAAGGGGTTATGTCACTCATGGACTGAAACCATACAGATTAGGATTGGCAGTGACCAGAGGGGTACACATAATTGATCATATAGAGAGGTGATTGTAAGGTAAAGAAAGGCCTTCTCTAGCAGCTCCTGCTAGCCTCACCCACCCACAAACTTCCAGCCCACCATTAGAGACTTCTCGTGTTTTTGCAACGTCTCTCATTATACACAGCTGAAGCAGTGTGCAGGCGTGCTGGCGGCGTGACTCCTTCCTCTAACGGGCATAGGAGCAGTGTCAGGAAAGTTGTAAACATGCAGAGAGGCTAGTAGTATAACAACCAAACACTGCAAGTAACTGACATGCCAAGGAGGTTAAAGATGAACAGCCTGTCAATGGTCATGATAAACACCTCCATTAGTCCAGACTGTAGTGGAGTTCATGGAAGTCATCCGGTTTTCTAGCAGTCATCTTCATGTAAGTATGCAGTCTGGCATAGATCGCTATATGTGAATAAAGCTTAATTAGGCCTGTGCAGCCATCGCTAACGATAAACACAGCCAGATATTATCTACTAATATAAACTTTAAATTTGTCCTTGCTCAGTGACATAATAGTAGATTTAGTTGTATTTCTAGTTAAGTTCAGTTCAATAAGCATACACAGCTTAAAACACCATTTAAATTTTTTTTTTATTAGAAAGTCAGATATACAGAGAGGAGGAGAGACAGAAAGGAAGATTTTCCATCTGATGATTCGTTCACCAAGTGGCCACAATAGCTGGAACTGTGCCTATACAAAGCCAGCAGCCTCCTCCAGGTCTTCTGCATGGGTGCAGGGTGCAAAGGCTCGGGACCATCTTCACTCATTTCCCAGGCCACAAGCAGGGAACTGGATGGGAAGCAGGGCTGCTGGAATACGAACCGACAACCATCTAAGATCCCAGCAGGAGCAAGGTGAGGACTGTAACTGCTAGGCTACCTCGCTGGGCCCTAAAACACCATTCTTAAAAAGATATTTTAAGATTCCAAATTAAAAGTGTAGTTAGAGATCATCCTTTACAACACTTTGGTTTGAAAAATGGGAAAATTAGGGCCAATCATTCAGCTTCATTCTTGCAGAATAACTATTGCAATTTCTGCCTGCCTTCTTATTCTTTTATACTTCTGAGCCTGCAGCTTGTTCCTGCTCCAAATTGCTATGGGAAATATGTGTGACAATTCAGGGGGGAATTATAGTTAATTAAAGAGAAACTGGGACTTACCACCAGACTTGAAGCGTACCCAAGTCTGAACAATGAAGGCTATTTTCTCCAAGTTTTATGATTTGTTTTTTCACATTGGGGGTGCATACCATGAAGAATAGAAGTCACCCTTGGAAAAGCCCAGAGGTTTATTCCACAGACTTTTCTTAGCTGTGATAAGATTAGTAGATGATAATAGCACTTTTTATAGCTGGAAAAATAATTCTTTTTTTTTTTTTAAGACAGCTCTTGAAATATGGATTCCAAACAGTCTTTAGTCCTGCATTTTTTTTTTTTAATCATTACCAAGTTGCAAGTGACCTTTTGGGGATTTTCATACCAGAAGTGTTTCTATAGTTTTATCTAATGACCTTTGAGCATTGTTGAGATAACTGCCAAACTCCAACTTTTCAATGAAAAGGTGCTGTGAACTCTGAATCTAGTCATGGACTGAATGATCTTGGTGCTCCCCGTTATGATGCATTCTCATTTTAGTGATTCACTGTATCTTCTAATTTTTTAAATTTCATTTGAAATTGCTGGACATTTGCTTATTTCCATTATACTATAGGACATAAGGAAAGCAATTGGGATAACAAATATCTCTTTAGATAATTATGAAGTGTTAGCGTATTAGGTAGTATTCTGAGTTCCAAGAGACCTTTTGTGATTTATTCTGTAAATATTCTTATAAACAACTTTTGTTTTTATTTAAACAAATTGAATATCTTGACTCAAATACGTAAAACATATCAACTCTAAAACCAACAGTTTTGCTTATTTCAGAACACATTTCATTTATTTTTTCTCCTAAATAAATACCAAAATGGAATTCTCAAGGGATCAAAGTTTACTGTAATGCAAAATCCATATGCATTTTTATTATTAGCATAGTCTTCTACATTTTAATGTAAAAGCCTGTATTTTTGCATATTTGTAAAATTGGATGGCATCAAGATAATTCATATAAAAATAATTGCTAAGCTCCGGAAGGGCACTGTTTCTTTGGATCACTAACTCTATTTCTTGTTACTTAGACATTTTAAGTTAAAGAACAATGCTACACAAAAACAACTTCAGTCTCTTTTACAAATAGTTCCAGTCATGCTTTCTATCAATATTTTTGTTTTAAAGATATATCCCCAATTTAGGAGATGATTTTGAACAAAATCAAAAAAACAAACAAAAATGACATTTGTAAGCAACTTTCCTTTTTTTTTTTCTTACAAAATGTTTCCCATTTAGTATATCTAAATGTAGGTATAAATTTTGAATTCTATAAAGAGCTTTAGGAAAAGCCTACTTAAGCACAAGAAAAATGGAACTATTTTAAATGTTTGACTCAGTGACAAAAGATCTGCCTTCTGGAAATGTAGCCCAAAACAGTTGACCACAAGTGTTTGAAATGTTCACCCGAAGCAGAGCTATACTTTCGGCCACCAGTTTATTTCTCCTGTGGGTATTTTTTTCTTGTGTGGCACTGAGTTTGTCTACAGTCTGTGAAAATCACCCACTGATACAAATAATTTGATTAGTTCCACAAACCAGTGTGCCAGAACATATATTTGATCCATGTAATGAATTATATTTAAATAACTAGCACTTGGTTAGGGCAGTATATTGCATTGCTAAACTTCACTGTTAGTTTGCAAAAGTAAATAAAAAGTGAAGCCTTAGGAACTAGTCACCAGGTTGAGGATAATTTCTCATCTTCCTTGAAATACAACATTTCACAGAAATACCCAAGGTAGAGAGGGAAAATAACTCATTGCAGAGAGCAATGTTTTTTCCTAAACAAGCAAAATAGCGTCCTATGAATAGATAGATGCTGTCCAAAAGAGAGCAGTGTTGTGCTTGAATTGACAATTAAACATTAAAGCTATAGGTTTGTTTTTTAAGCTCGTTATTAAATGCAATCCCTTATATATGAAATTCTGAAACACCATTAATTTATTAAAAGCAAAAGTAATAATCAAAATTTGCCATGTTCTCTTGATCACATTTCACTATTTCTCTGTGCTTTCAAGGTGACATGGGATTTTTGTGGAAATCCTTTTTAACAATGTGTTTCATGAACTTTTTCCTGACTGTATGTCCAGAACATCACTTTGTTGCCTTGAAATTAGCCACCCTGGGAGAGAGTACCACGGAAACTAGTGCTTGCTGCAAACCAGGACAGTTCATCTCTGGAAACCAGCTGTAAAACATTTATCGGTACATCATTTAATGTCATCACTTCTCAAGAAAATAACAAATTCTTAGAAGCAATACAGCATTATTAAAATGACATGCTGTAATTTTGTTGTAGCTTGTACTGTCTTTAAAGACTCCTATTAAGCTACATATTTCATGTTTATATTTTATTCATAATTAAATTAGTACATCTCAGGGATGGGTTTGGAAACTTCCAATGTTTTCTAAGAAGTTTTCATAATGCAGCTTTGAATTGACTAAGCTCAGGATTAAATGCCAACAGCCTTTAACCTAACCAGTGTGTCATGGCAAATGTGTTTCACTGGTAAAGTTCATATTTTAGGTAATTGGTAAAAATAGCAAAAACAACAACTTGTTACCATATCCAGATTCTAATAAATATAGCTCAATTACTACCCAAACTGTTAGATTATACTAATTAAACTGTAGAATTATGTGTTAAATCAGCACAGATGTTTATACTGTGTAATTTCCAAGCATAGTGGTTTGTCATTTTATTTCAATATGCAGGGCACCTTTTGTAATTGTTTATGAAATAAATCAACTTATCAAAGATCAAAGACAGACATTGAAACAAAGTGTGATTAGCACTGACTGGGGGAAGCAAACATCCTGAACACACAGCATGTCCAATAGCTGGAGGCTTTTCAAATTAGACACTACTAAAAAGGAATAATTTGATGAGAGATGTGTAGTTGATTGCCAGTTTTAGTGTGAACTTACAATCAGTTAACTCTGCCTCAGATTGTGTTTGCTCTGCTTCCCCACCCCTTAATTTGCATATTTCCTTAACTTTAGGACATCTCAGTATACTATATATTTTTTGTTTTCATGGCAGTTAGAATTTAGAACTTTTCATTACAGGGATAGTACCTTTAGTAAAAATAGTCTTTGAGGAAAATAAAATTATTATCTTAGGTAAATTTGTGCAGGCAAGCTACATGTTAAAATGTAGAAATCTGCATGTTTTCTTTCTGTGTCATGGTGCACATTAATCACTGTGAATTTTATTTCCAAGAAAATAAGAAGGTCTAAAACATTTTTTATTTAAAAGAAATAAATCATCTTTGGCTATTAGTAACAAGGAAATAGGAAAATATGAGATAATATAATCCCTCAAAATGTATGTGCAATTAACCTCCTTGAGCATTTTTTTTTTACAAATGCATGAAAGCTTACA